ATATATATATATATATATCTTTCAATTCTTAAGGGTAAATATTTTCTACGAAGGATAATTCAATCACGATGTTACGAAAGATCAGAAGACAAAGCGAAACAACTTCTGTCGATCCAAAATGCCGATAAAGAGGATCGTGCACGTCAAAAGTATCGGTATTTCGAGGAATAATGAGATTTTATCGATAGGAACGCATGGAACAACGAATTGATAGACAACCGATTCGATAGGGCCCTGTGTTTCTATAACGCCATCATTACACGTCCAAGGAACTTCAATTACTCTTTGTTTCCTTTTTTTTTGTTTTCTTCTCTTTTTCAGCTTTTCTCCCCTTTTTTGTATTTTCTCTCTCCATAACGTTGCTACGCTCGCAACGTTGCTTTTCCATAATACGTCATTCATGAAAGGAATAGACAGCGGGAAAACACGTTTATGAGGTTTCGTTAGGTAACGTTTCATTGCGAAATCAAATTTCTGCGCCTCGTTCCAATCGGGACACGTGTATTCATCTCGAACAAAGCTATTCGAAATAAAATATCTTGCGAAGCGTTTCATAAAAAAAAAAAAGAGGAAGAGAGAGAGAGAGAAATGTTCCAGTGATTTCGTGGAAATATAACTCGAATCTATCTTCTGTCTTTATTAATTTGTGAAAATTATCTATAATTTAATGAATCAATTACACTGGGATTAATTCGATGACGTTTTAATAGATGTCTCTATCTGTTTCGTAATAATATATAAGAGATGATATTTGATATGCTCTTATATCGAGAGATTACATTAAATGACAGATTGTTTGGACGAAATTAGATATTTAAGTATAGATCTACGAGTTTGATCAGCTGAACAATTCTTTATAACAAAAAATAGAAATAGGACATGAGAAAACAAGAATACATCTGGATCGATTATGAAGAATGAATTGCTAGATATATAAATATTTAATGCCTTTGTCGATAAAAGTTTCATTTCAATTATAATATTAACTTATAATTAGATAATATTATTAATATAATTCATAGCGTTTTTGAATCTTTTTTTGAACAGTGATCCCATAAGAAAATTTTTATCAATTAAGAATAACAGTAGCCATTCATAGGTCACTGCTTTACAATAAACTAACGTATACTTTTTGATTCGCTAAATAATAAAAATTTAAAAATTCTTTTATTTTGTATTTTTAAATCTTCGTAAATATAATTCTCATTGAATATAACGAAAGCACACAAATTTCTCTATTTCTCTAAACTTTCCATTTTAAAAATTTCGCCTACAAAATACCTTTTCCTTCGAGTCCACCATCTTAATGATCGCTTAACCAGCTTGTCAAAGAAACGAGGCGAGAGATTAATTCGATTCTCCCGCCAAGTTTCACCTCTTCCTAAGACAAATCGAATCAAACAGAAATAGAAACTCTAGACTTCCTACATCGTTACAAAGATCGCCATTCGAAACATCGTAATTCGTTCGTCCACCTCGCACCATACGAATATATTTCAATTTTCTTAATCGAATCCCTTTCTGTTTCTGGTCCTTGAAACAAAACCAGGAAATCGAGCCACGAATTTAGCACAATCAATATCTCGAGTATCCATGGTTCTCGTTAGAGGAACGTGTTAACCCATCGAACTCCGTAACTGCGGCATTCCCTCCACCCACCCCCGTAACAATTAACTCGATCTCTAAAATCTCAGACACCTATTCCCCAAACTCCCACCGATGTGTCTGAATGGTTCACGCAGTCTTCCACAATTCACCGTTGAAAATCGTGTTCTCGAACTGGGCTGGTTGCATCTTACAGGAGCCAGAGAACCGGGGTATATATACCGGTGAGAGGGCAAGGCGGGAAGGCACACAGGATAGTAGGAGGTTTAGGAATTTCTAGTCTAGCTATTCAACGATTTCGTATACCAAACCGTACTTGTCGGTCGTTGATGTACCAGGTGAGATTGGCCGCGGGTTTACTCCGTCCGGATGTGCAGTTCAAACGTAGCGTATCGCCGATCCGGTATTTCCTCCTTAACCCGAGTATCGACGGCCCTTGAGAGGGTAATTCTGCGGAACAAGAGACGTCAGGTACACACGGGGCACGGAAGTATGCAAAGCATGTTCGAAACGCCGCTTTGACGCTCGACCATTCCTACGTGTGTATTTTATATATACATTATATGTATGTATATATATACGTACACACATATATACATATGTATATAATGTATTGGGATTGGATATAGATGTAGAGGAAACTTTTCAAGATTCCCGGATGCGCCAACCAAACCAGTGTGTTCACGTGTGCATAGAACGAGCCGATAGATCCACTGTGCTATCCAACGTGCGCTGATGAAAAATTCTTCTTTTATGCCTGGCAATTCGCGTTCGCGTTTCGATATCGGAATAATGCATTCGTAAGAGAGATGCACGGCATTGTCATCCCGATCCCTATTTTCAGGCTAGAGCGTGCCAAATATTTCCCGGGGAAGTGTTTTGCGTTTGATAATTTTCGTGTGATAACGGAGACGCACGTATGAAGATACGTATATTCTGGTTACATAAGTATGTTGCTTATCTTTAATTGAGAATCGTATGGTGCAAATCCAATCGATAGAAAAGCGGATGTTATAATTTCATATTATTTTGAGTTAATCGATATATAAGTTATTTCAATATATTAGTTAGAAATTAAAGGTATTAAAGTGGAGAATATAAATATATACGAAATTATTCTTTTCTTGAACATTAATTTCTAAATGTGAATAAAATCAAAGTAATTTCCGTGTGATTTTTTAAATGATTATATATATTATTAACTAAAATAAAATAGTGATATTATTAAATTCTACGTATGATAATTTTAAATTAAAAAAATTTTATCTTTTCTACGTGAAATCATTTAAACGACCAAATTCGAAAACGAAAAATTAAATATCCAAAACTATTAAAATTATGTAATTAACATATTAACATATCAACAACGAAAAAAAAACCTTAATTATTTTTCATCGTTACGAGATATATGTATTGTTGGTAAAATATATTCTCCAACGCATTATAAAGTAAATACATGAAATTAAGCGAAACTCGCTAATGATTTTCTAACTTCTTTCAGATAATTGTTACAATTAAAGTAGCCACGTACTTATGAACGAGAGTGTACATACGTACAGGTACATACGGTTGCACCATTATAGGAGATTTGAATATCGCGAGTTTCGTTTTTCCATCCGGAATATAACGGGACCGTTTAAGCATAGGGATCTCCTGTTCGCGTGTTTCTCTTCTTTTTATCCCTCTTATCCTACCCTTCTTTGTTTCGTATCGTTTTCCTGATTTGCGAGAGCCTCTCGAGTTGTGTTATTTCTTTTTCTCCCTTTTATTTTTCGTCTTTACTTTTCTTCTCTGTCTTTTTTCGTATTCTTCCTTTTTATTCCTCCTCCTCCCCCTCCCTTTCCCCTCTTTTTTCTAGTTATTCCGCCAGAAAGAATTCAAGTGACTAGCCCCAACGTTCGTCGAGAAACGAAACATGTGAAGAGCGCCAGGGAAACTTTCCTCGACTACGTTGAACACTCGTCGCTGATAAAAAAGTTTTCTTTTACCTTGTGCATGTACACCGAGCCTTTTATTGCTGTTCCTCTCGAAATTTTGGGACTTATTAAAAAGTTGGGAAAAAACCTTGGTTCCCGCATAAGGATACCAAAACCCACGGTTCTCCACACGTGCAAACGTTTCTCGTTACACTCGTTAAACGTTTCGCCGGATACGGGAACGAGGGAGGGTGAGCTGTTCTATCAAAGCTTCTTTCTCACCTCTAACGAAATTTCATATTCCCTTACGGGTATCTTGCGAAAATTTCGTCGCGTGATTTTGCGGAAGGAAATAGAATGAAACGAGAACCGTTTGTTCCTAGAATGTGCACATCTTATCGACGTTTCTCTTCTTCTATTTTCAATACTTCTCTAATAAAAATATGTGGAATAGAAAGGACGAGAGTTTCGTAAGAATTCATGAATTTATTAAATTCTTCATTTTTGAATGATTCACGATAAATTGATTATTAAATCACTTCTAAATGATCTGAAATTTTTCTTATACGTTTACTCGAGTTTCTTTTTCTGTATTTTTTGAAGACTTAGACCTTTAATATAGTCTCTAACGATATGTCGATAATAAAATATCGATTTTATAAGAGTTTCGTAAGAGAAATTCTTTTTCACGAATTTATTATATGATTGACAGAAAAATGTTATGAGATGAACTCTAAATAATCTCCTAAATCATTCTTTTTGGTATTCTTCTCTTATTGATCTGTTATTGTTTAATTATTTTTCGCGAACGAATAATATTGTGATTAAATGAATTTAAATTAGGGCCTAGAGTGCAGCTGAAGCATGCCAAAATATTAATTTCGCTTTTGTTTGTGAAAAGACAATGGATGCTAATGAAAATAATGAACGTATATCGAAACCATCATTATGTCAAAAAAAGAAAAGAAAAAAAAGATTCTGATAACAATAGATTCTGAAAAAGGCCATTATTCATTATTCTTATTAAGAAAAGCAATAACAACTAACGATATATCGTTATTAAATTCAAATTATACGTCAAAAATTGAGGAAAATAAATCTTACTAATTATAGATATGAATCTATAATTTGCATAATAATACAATGTCGCATACAAATGACGATAGCAAAATTAATTGAACGAAATTCTATTATAATCATCATTACACCGAATCCTTTTTCAACTGATTTATCATTCTTCTTTTTTTTATTATTCTTCTTGCTTTCTATAGCTGTTTCTAAAAAAATAAAACTCATCTCATACTCGAAAAAACTGTAATTGGAAAATTGAGAATCGTAATGTAAGTTGCACAGGAAATATTTTGCGAAACTCATATTTATAAATTAATATTTAAAAAAGAAAATTCCTCTCGCATATTTCTATATATTTGTATATTTCCAGTTTTAGTATCATGTTTTGCAACTTCAAACTGTATCTACTAGGTAAGTTAAAATAACGTGAAATTATAGTTACAGTAAAATCCTCTATAACGCAAGAAATACATTCTGCGTTATATGGATTTCGTGTTATACGAAACCAGGAGCATAGAAAGTTGAAATAAAATAATTTTTTTTTTAAATAAAACAAGAAAATAATATACATTTTAAAACAGCAAGAATTTTTTCATTATAGAATAAACAGAAAGACAGATAAAACTATAATCTAATCACTGTCAGAATCACTTAAAATTAAGTTCTATCAACATTCTTTTTACATGCTGCTCCAGTTCTTTCGTCGGTTAAATTTTCTTCACCTTCGAAAGAATTTTCTCGTGTTATTTTGTTAGAAGAATTTCATTTCTACGCTTCTGGTTTTAAAATTTTTCTTAATTATAATATATGAAACAGTTTTGTTATTTTCTTTCTTTTAAATTCGATAACAATTTCGATTTTTCGCGTTATATATAAAATTCTAATGCACATTTCCATTCTCCATAGTTTAATTTACGCTTGTACGATTCTCAGAAATATATCAATTTCACAAGTCTCTAATTTTTATAAAGAAATATATATATATATACATATCAAATAGTAACTCAAAAAGAAAAGAAAAAATTATTGAAAGTACGAATATATAATCGAATAAAAATTATTTTCAACTGTGTTCTTTTCAATCCATAGAAACCGCACTTTCATACGGTACAATCTAATATTTGACCGCAATGTTAACCACAGATTTTTCTATCCCACCCTCGAGATCGCCGGAAATAAAAAATCACCGGTAAAGTTTCAAAGAGCGCAACGAGTTTTCGCGTATTCTATATACTATACGTTCGAAAAAACACACGATGCAAACAACTCGGAGCAACTCGAAACAATCGTCATTCTTGAACCATTTCAGTGGTCGGCGTGTTTGTAATTCGAACGATAGTATTTCTCGAAAAATACCGGCTAATTCGATTTCGAAACGGTTTGTTAAAATGACCTGGATACAAATGAAATAAAATAAATCGCAATAGGATGCGCGATAGGACATTTGAAACGAATGTTTTTTTAATTTACATAGAGTTTAAGATGCTAAACTTTGCCAATATTTAAATAAAATGTTACATAAATTATATTTTCATAAATGCTTTGATAAAAAAGTTATAAATAAAAATTTCAAAGGGACTATTAATAAACATATTTATTGCGATATCATAAAATATATATATATACACATATTTAATATTAAAATTAGTATTAATTTAATTTCAAATAGTAAACGCAATTTATATAAAACTACGCGCAAATTAATTATTCTCTTCGAAACTTATTTCATATTTTTGTTTTAATTAAAGCATTAAACAAACTAGAAGCAAAATATTTATTTAAACACGTTATAATTTTACTTATTTAGAATTATAATTGGCAAAGTTTACATATCTTAAACGCGGAACACTTTTTATAAAGAAAGAAATTCGATAATTCGAAATAGAATGAAATTTAGATATGGCACTGCGTTATTTCGCTCGCGCGAATTTTCCAATCCAACACCGCCATCATCATCGACCATCGTTAATGAATCAAAAACACAGATTGGCTTTATGAAAATTCAATAATTTGCACGCACGAAACTTCACCGTGGTAAACTTCGAAAACGTTTTGTTCCCTCTTAAGCGGGGAAGGTTGCAGTTCATTAGCCTTATTCCGATTTTAACCAACCCCTTTTTCGACCACGCTCACTAGCTGTTCCGCTTTACTTTTCCCTCGATCGGTGTTTTAATCATATTTCCTGATACGGACAACTCTGGAAGGGGTTTTCCTTGCAATTCGGTAATGCCTGGCCTCGCAATTTTACACTTGATGCCAGATGAGAAGATTTAACGATGTCGTAAAACGCTCGTTAAACTGTAATTCTGCTCCAACAAACGGTAATTACGTATAAATGAATGCATCAAAATGATAATTTCGATTGTCTGATTCGATCGTAAAGAAAGATCGCGAGTAAAGAAAAGGATAGTAAATTGGATTGTAATATGGCGCTTTAATTATTTCGTAGTTTTAAAATAAATAATAGTAATATGAAATATCTATTTTTTTAACAACATAGTTGAAGTTTTAAGAATAATTAAGATATAAAAATAATTTAGGAAGGAAAAATTTCACATGAAATTTTTTTATTTTCCTTGAGAAAGACAAATTTTCATTTCTTTTTTTCTTTTCATTATTATTTTAAAATTAACTGATTGTAAATTGAAAGAACATGAATTTTGAATTATTAAAATTGTGATATGAGATTGAATACTAATTCAATCCTGAAAATGTTGTAGAAAAAATTGTAAATTATAAATACATTTTGTCATTTTTAAAATATTAATTGAAACTTCTTTTTACAATAATTTTTTTAAGAATTGTTTGAGCACAAATGCTCATATTGTTACCAATATTCCATTATTGAAACTATAATTCTTATGTTTTTTAATTTTTTTTTTTAAACTGCAAAATAAACTGTTCTAAATCTTCGTTGAACAAAAATACATATAAATTTTATGCTACAACATTAACAACAATAATGCGCAGAGGGATTCTAATGAAAATATACAACTGTAACTTGTGAAATGTTGTAACGTTGTAACAAATAATACAACAAGAATTTTCATTGGATATTATTACTGTATATAGCTTGAAATCCCGATGATCCATATTACTACCACTTGCTTTTGAATCTCTAAGAATAAAGATTATTACAGTTGAAATTTCGTATTATAATTAGTGATTCTGATTTAACATATTACAATTTTATATCCTAAAGCTAAATGTCTACACGAAATATAGCTGTAACAGCTTATTTCCAATTTGTATTTCAACAATTTCTTTTCTTTATTTATTTATTAATAATAAATTTATAAAACATTTCACATCTATTCAAATATTCGTAATAACGTTAAATATTAAGAAAATATTTTTGAAATAAACTTCATTACTTCACATCCATTGTACACATACATTGAAGATATTGAGAAATATTTCTACTTAAAATTAAACAAGGCTTTTCGCAAATATCAAAGAGTTAACCGTATCAATAACAATGAAATGCAAACATTGAAATGCAAGGTAATCATTTTCAGCATCTCTTTTGCAAATAATTAAAAACGAAATTATAATAAAACTTGCTATATCTCGTATATATAGTTAAATAAATATGTTTACATAATTTTTTAATTATTCAATGCTAAATTAATCTCTGAAATATTTCATAATTGTTAAAAGTTATTTTTACAATATAAATCAACGTTTTTCAATATGAATATTATATATTCAATATATATATTATTTTTTATCTTTTTACCTTTCTTCGATAGTGCAAAATATTTTCCAAATAAAGAATGTATAATTTATTTCTATTACACTATTATTAAAAAAAAGAAAAGAAATTCCCAAGTTAAATTCAAAAAATAAAAAAATACTAAAATTTGAGGGTTGATTTTACCTTCTTGAAGAGATTTCCTATCGATAAAAAAAATCGCAGTATATATACAATCCATTACGTATACACTTACGTATAAACTTTCATTAAAATCAGGATTCTTGATTTAGATAAATTTCCTCGTAGGACAGCGTACGAAAACTTTTCCACTGAAAACATAATATCAGGTCACGAGATGAAAAAGTTGGGAAAAATTGGTGTAGATTCAACTTTGAGATAATGGAATTATTTCCTTACAATTATTTTCTACTTTCACATTGTTGCGCTCGATTTACAGTAATGAGCGTATATATTCGCGACTCAACTATTTCATAAAGGCGCGTACCGTATTCCCCCGGCGAAAGGGTTAAACTCCAATTCGGTCGTTTAACATTCCTTCGAAAACATTAGACACAGTCTTGTTAGTCTCTCAATTAAACCATTTAACAAGTTTCCGCGCGGGACACAGAGCAAAATGATAACTGCTATCGCACCAGCGCCCCTCTCCTCTCCTCCCCCTTTTCCCTTCGATCCGAGGCGAGGATGCATCGTCAAACGGAAACCGTTCCTTAAATTTGCCGTTCCGCAACACGCGCGCGACCCAGAGAGAGCGTGTTCAACCCTTTCGAAACTTCGTTACCCGTTACTCTCCAATTTGTCGCTCGACGAGCTGCAAAGTGTTGACAAACGTTCTCTCCACCCCCCTTTTTCTCTCTCCCCCTCCCCTTTTTAAAATCCCCGTTGGCGAATTCCTCGAGAGGAGATAAAACGAAGGGAGGGGCAGGAGGTGTATAAAAAATAATAGAAGAGAGGAGAAGGGAAAAGAAAAGGGAAATCACCGAAGGTAAAACGTCGACATAAATTTTCACAGCTGCGGCCAATTGCGCAGCCGAGGATTCGAGAGGGAGAGGGGGAAAAAAAAAAAAAAAAGAAAAAAAGAAAGAGATGAGCAAAACCTAACCGCGGGGTAGCTTCATTCCCAGGGCACCTAAGACACCTAATTCCCGTTCATTCCGCCGCGTGTACCCGCAGTATTATCTTCGGCTCGGTCCACAGCGATTCGCGTAAGCCTTTAAGTCCACCGAGCCGGTGGCTGGCATTAATTCGCAGTTCGAAAGCACGCTCGCGGGCTAACACGAACGCGTCTCTGTTATATGTATGTGTATATGTGTGTGTATATACAGAGTGTTTCAGAGAAGATGTTCGAAAGTGGAAGCTGGAATAACTTTGCCGGTATGTTTGGTCATTCTGAATCAATAAGGTCATATCGCCACCCTCCCACGAAAACGTGCAAATATTCCGTTTGGATAAAGATGTCTGGATGAAACGTTTCTTCTCTTATTTTTAATTTCATGAGGATATTACTTTTACGTTTTCTCGAAGTTTGAAGTCAGTGTATAATCTGAAGAATAATGATCTCGGTGATTGTCTTATTATCAATTATTATTCTTCAAGTATAAACTTTCATAAGTTGTAGAATTATATAGTTTACGTTTCTGTCTATTGTTTAATTTATTCAGATACGTAATGCATAAGATCTAAAAGCGGATTTACATTTGTCATATCGTTGTTAATGAGAAATTATAATAATTTTACAACGATTTTTGTAAACGATAAATATATTGTATCATTAAACGAAAAGAAACTGTTTCTTCGAACTTAATTAATTAAATTAATCTCGATAATCAATGGATAAAATAATTACATGATCACGCATAAAGATTGATAAAAACTATCAAGAACATTGATAATCCATTCTATATACAGAATTATACGATTATGCATAAAATAGTTAAATCTTACAACAACTTATTAAAAAAAAAAAAGAATAAAAAAAGATCAAGTACTCATCTTAAAAATCCTGAACATAATCCTGGAAAAATATTCTTTTCACTAATTCTCACTGTAATAATGTAACTGAAGATAATTAAACTGTTAGATCAAATTAGATAATTTATCCTCTATATGTGCATTTGTTTAAAAAAGAAATAGAAGAAATCAAATGTCACTATTTAATCTTCTACTTAATTCTACAAATATCTTTTTATTATCTTCATCTAATTAGTAGAAGATAATTAAGGTGGTCAAGTTACGTAATTCATGCTACACAAGTGCACACAAGGAAGGTCTTTAGTTTCTATGTACAATATCACCGCAGATGGTGCGCATAAAGCATCCCCCATCTCGGATCAAGGGATTAATAAACACATCCTCTTACCTACGATGTTCATGGTGTCTTGGACACAGGCCGTCTGGAAGGAAGGAGCATCCGCGGAGACTTCGCAACTGTACACCCCCGCAGCGTCCAACTCCAGGTTGGTCAGGGCGACTTGGGTCGCGTTGCTTTCGCTTTTCTACAACAAAAAGCCAACCCCGCGGTTTAGTCAACCGTGTATCGGTGGTTGTTTCTTTCCTGATGGCTTCGCAAGGGTTACAACTCCGCCCTTTCACCGAGTTCTTTTCTTGGCTGCTTTTTTAAAACTTGGTGGAACGGAAGTTTCTTTTGGAAAGGGATACACAGGGAATAGTTTCGGGGGATGTGTTTATTCTTGAAGGGGTTGTTCCTTGTAGAATAAAGGATTTGGTGGGTCGAAAATTGTATTGCAACATGCTTTGTTTTTCTTGTGTTTTTCTTCTTTTTTCCTTACGATATTTTGAAAATAGTTATTATTTACGTGGAAATATGTGGTCGTTTGTGAAGATTTTTTTTAAATATTTGGTTTTTTAAAAATATCTATAAGAATTCTGTGTTATTTTTTAATATCTATAGAATATAGGTCGTTTAATAATTTTCGTTCCTAAATTGTTAAACTGTCTTTCATTTGAAGTTACAATAATTCATTCCTCGAAGAGAATAATGAATACATATGTTTTAAAAATTCGAATTGATAAAAGTTAATTATTATCCATGAAAATTTCATGAAATATTAACCAA